ACTCTTGAGATGTGTGCCAGTTCGGTACATTACTGTAGAGAGATATTAATCCATTCCCATTTCTTTTTATTTTGCTTTCAAGGAGGTAAACCTTTTAATTTTTAAACCAACTTTGAGCAGTACTTCTCCAGATAAATTGCTTAGCAAAGACCTGATTTAAATTGCATGCATCTTTAAACACTTTGTGATTAACAGTCTCTCATCATTTGACCTATTCATTAATTTCCCACCTAAAAGGTCTTCTAATTACCTGTTCTGTACCACAGACGACCTATAATCACAAGCTCACCCACTGTACAAAACACCTTCCTACTTATATTCAGAACAGTGACTTGTTACCAAGAGACTGTAGCAACTGCGTGTAATAAACATACAGGATACCGGCTGCTGTGACTCCCCAAACTACTTTGACAAATTAAGTGCGGCTAGACATCTGGATGCCGATTATATTTCTGCTATTATGAATTTTGTGTTAACTCAGCAATGTAACTGACACAAAAACTGCACTACATTCACACTATAAAACGCCTATATTTTGATAAAACGATCACTCCCAAAAACAGCTGAAAACACGCCATAGAGCGAAAATAATAAAAATACCGTAGGCACATAAACATTACGAGCCCGTAATAAAATCAATCTAAATACCAACTCTACCTACATTTCAGGCCTATGTAGTGCAACTATACACATGCAATAAGATATCACATTTTAGCTGGGTGGTAATACATAGTATTCACCCAGAATCACCTGGTTCATCTGGGCTTGACTATGTGTTCCGAACCAACAGACTGAGCACTTTAAAAAAAAAAAAACTATTATATCCTTAAGTATGTGTAAAGGCAGTCATTTAACGCAATCGTTATTAGCTGTATTTAATTTCAGCTAACCAACCTTCGAAGGCAAAGTTAACGGTTAGCTTTAATTTCGGCTAAAAACGAATCAAAACAGCAGCCTTTTTAATTCACGTCATTACCAGTTCGTTTACATCCTAAGGCCCAAACCTATCTACCACTAACAGTGCAGGCGTTAAAGACAACACACCGGTACAAGGAACGTCACTAGCTATTGTTAGCTAACCCCGTATTATCGAACTCAACCAATTACCCTAATATATGTCACATATGAGGGTAATATTAACTGGCTGACAGGTTTGACAATAAAATCAAAATATGATTCCGAGGTACCTTAAAACACTAATGTGCCATGTTAACGTTAGCCTCCTCTTAGCTTGAAAAACCACAGCCTGACAGCGCAGTGATAAGATGGCCAAGTATGCTCTTTGCTAGCCAGCTAACGTTAGCCGGCTATCTAAAGACTGCTGGCTAATCGTCTCTTCAGCACCAAGTGTATGAGCTTGCAATTGTACCTACCAATAGACAAGGGTAAACACCGACTCTCCAGCATGTAGCTTATCTTAACATTAGCCTCGGACCTTAGCGATACTAAGACAGAGCTAAGATGAAATTTTGGCAAGGAAAATAAAGCGTTTAAAACTGTTTCTAACAGGCGCGAAAATGTAGATCTTCGGAGAGCACTTTTCAAGATGGCGGTTCCGTCAACTTCATCGACCCCTTCCCCCACTCCAGCTGCAATGTTTGTCAATCAAACAATTTCCGCAAAACTATTGGTTGCGAATCCTGTCGCTCAAACAAGGTCGTAAGCTTTTATTGGACAAGGTGCGTGTCTCGTCAAGACGTCATTTACACAGAGTATATGTATACTGTCCCGGAAGAACGGGGTTTATACTGTTTATCAAATTTTAAGCAAAACAGTTAGACTCATGTGGTAACACAACAAATTGAAGGTTTAATGTAGTGTAATTCATCTACTTGACAACTGTATTTTGGTAAACTACGGGTAACATAAAACCTTCACTCCGCACGCGCGTTTGCTTTGAATTTTAAATCGAGCACACTAAGTAGCGTACACGCACGCCCACGTCTCGTTCGAGAAACGCCCAGTTGATGGCGGTAGTGTAAAGAGCGCAGACCCTCGTTACCTAAAGCGAACGTGTGTTTATCTTTTAGGTATGTGTAATTAGTGTAATTTTATTTACATGGCGACAGTTAACAACAACAACAACAACAGTAACCTCAAAACGCTTTATGATGTCAGTTTAAATAGTATATCAGAGAATGGCATATGAGCAGCACTTATTAATGTGCTATTATCGTGTGTTATTAAATTGAATTATCAGTAAAAAGAAGATTCTGCTCAACTTTCAATTCACTGGACTGGCTACAGGAGAGAGCACCGAACTTCTCAAGTTGCTTGTTACTGCCACATTAGTGAGGACTGTGGAACAGCTCAGAGTCGGTTTGATATTGAATTTTTTTTCTCACATGTTTGCACTGACTTGCTCACTATCGCTCAGGTTACCGATTGGAAAATCTTGCACACAAAGGCCGTTTGTCCTTTTAAAGGATAATCGAAACTTTTGGGCTTTTTAAAATGGCATCAGTGATACATCAATTCAAAATACAATGTATGTGGAATTCATTCTCAGTTGTTTTGTGGCTTCAAAAAGGTCTACGTTATTAAAGCACTGCAAATTCCTCAATTTCACTGCTCATGTATAGAATAATAATAAATATCACTAGTTCAAATTTTATTTTCACTCCTTTCTTTCTATTCTTTTTATTGAAACGCTACTAACTATGGGGGCATCCAACAGTGTCGTTGATGGCTTACTTTATGTTGCAATTAATTGCAACAATTTTGAGCCAGCACACTGAGCTTCGATTTGATGAAAGAATAGTTACTGAAAGATGTTTCAGTCTCACCGACCCGCATTTGTCTAACGTGTGCCGCACTTCACAGTTTCACTTCAAGCTGAAGGATCTGCCTCCAAAACTGCTTTTAGAAACTCCGATGAACACCACAAGCAGCCCGCAGTCTGAGAGAGGAGCGTTCTTTTACAGTCGTTAGACTATGCATATATAGTGATGTATGCATAGTAATAATCACAAATTTTATTTCTCCCGACTTTTCTTGGGACTCTAAACGCAGCACTTGGCTGGCACAAATCCCCTTTCGCTAATCGCTTCTCATCGGATCGTCGGGATTCAGACGTCATGCTTTCATCCGTCAGAGGTAACGGAGCATAACGTGAATCCGCAGTCCGGGGAACAAACATACAGACATTCTCATCATCATCATCAGCAGCAGCAGCAGCTAGCTCAGTGATGATGAACATGGATTTAAGTGCCGTTATAGAGGAGATGGAGACGGGCGACCAAGACTCGGCTCTGACGGCTTTACAGAGCTACAACAAGCAGGTAAACACCAGCCCTGCAACATCGGGAGGAATCAGTGCGTTGTAGAACAGCTGTTTGAGTTTATGAAATGCTTTCCATTCAGATGATGATCCTGAAATAATTGCCAAATCAGAACTGTCTTCAAAAGTAGAACCTTTACTATATTAAATGGGGTTTAACGCTGCATTGTACACCTTATAAATAGCCTATACGATATTGTGTATTGAGCCACCCCTTCTTCTTCTTCATGTTTTGCTTTCACGGAGCCAGATTTCCTCGTAATTTTAAAGGGATGTTAAGCAACAGTTCTCAAGGCTTTCTCTGGGTCTTTCAAAGTTCTTCTTTGGAATTCGCTGCTTTTCACTCATTTTCAGCCCAGTCCTTGTACCTGACAGATTTTTGACCTGACAGCAATGTGTTTTTGATGGTTAAGCAACTGAGCACTGACCCATGAGTCATTCAAGCTGAGCACTGACCCATGAGTCATTCAAGTCATTCAAAAAATCTAACTTAAGGGATGAACCAGTACTGTGTCTGGAATAAACGAGAACTTAAAGATCGAAATATAAATTGTATCACTGGGAACTTTGTTACAAATAGCCTGTTGTAAAAACACATTCCCGTTTCTTTAGCTGATTCTATAAACATGACACATACCTGAGAGATGCATCTGACCCCTGATCCATCTACTGTTTACCAAAGAAATGGTCTCAGATATGCCATTTTAGTCTCAATGGCTGTCAACAACGCATTCTTACACCAAACTACACAAAAACTGGACTGAAAATCAGTAGCAACAGGTCTTATTGAGTGATGAATCCAAAGTAGATATCTTTGGTTCAAAACATTGCCAGTGCGTATAGAGGATGTCAGGAGAGAGCTGCAACAAAGGTACAGTGAGTGTCTATAGTCACTGGTAAAATGTGGAGGAGGCATGTTATGGTTTCGGGCTGATTTCAGCCAGTGGTGCTGCGATCTTGTCAAAATTCATTTATGAATTCATTTATGAATGCAATAAAAGGAGTGCCATCAGATTTGGATCCACAGTGCAACAGCATCTGGAAAGTGTGTGCTAGTGGCTTAATTTTTCACTTTTTCAATGATAAAGTGAATGTGCTGACAATGCAGTAAAGGCATACCTGGATATAAGACACACTGAAATGCCGTCACAAATTCCACTGGATGTGGATTGGCCTCCCCAGAGCCCGGACCTCAACATTATTCAAGTATTGTGGGATCTGCTGTTGTTGCTGGGAAATTGGTAGAACCACCCATATCATAAATTACCTAAATTACTTAATAAATAATAAATGAATATTAGATAGGATAAAACATGCTTTATTTATCCCAAAGTTGAGACATTCATTGCACCAAAATAATAATTTCAATAATAATGACGATGTGGCATAAGTTGACAGTAAGTGTAATTTATTTAGCTGCCTATTAATTCCCTCTTAACCCTTTGAACTTCTGTGGTAGTTTAGTTCCAAGTTTTATTATGTGATCACCAACATGCAAAGAGATGAGCCTGACACAGTTTGAATTGCAGGCAAGTCAGTTTCATAATGTGGTAGAAAATCAGAAAGAAATGTAAAAAGAAAAGAAAGGAATATTTGTTGAAAATATTTTTTTTTTAATTAATGTGAGCCACTGATTGTAAAAATAGAAATGGGAAATGCAAGTTAGTTTTGTCACAAACATCTACATCCATTGCATCCATTTTCTGCCACTAATCCAGGTTTGTGTCACTAGGCCAGCAGTCTAAGAAAAAAAGCCCAGACATCCCTCTCCTCAGCCAGCCATAATTTTCCAGGGGGACACCAAAGCTTTCCTTAGCCAGTCAAGGCATATAATCTCTCCAGAATTTCCAGGGTGTTTGTTCTGAGATTAAATCCTAATTTCTTGCAGAATCTGACATGTACATATGTCGTAACTCAAGCCATCTAGAGAGGTTTCTTTATTTCACTGTGCTCTTTCAGTTTTTCTAACATGTGTGATTTCCTTGTAACTCTGATACACCTTGGAAAGGAGTCAGTGTCAGGACACTGAAGAGTAATGGGAAAGAGCGCTGTGGGAGTTTTTAAATTAATGTAATTAATGGATTCATCGCTTAGATACAGAGAAAAAAAGAGGACAGAGAAGCAGAAGCAGTTACTCGAAGATAATGAGATCATGTTTAAGATCAGTGCTGAGGTACATCCAGTAAAATGTCAAAGATTTCAGCTGCAATGTTTAGTGATATTACAGATATTTTATTTCCATTTTAAATTCAAGCTTATCATAACATATTATACTACTTCCCATAAACCATAAGGTTACTCTAAGACTGATGATATGAATTCATATTTTATCTATAACTTTCAGGATTATCATTACTTTTTAGATTAGTTATTTTAGGTAACTACTTTGTACTCTACGTACATTATTAAGTTAGAGTTTAAATGGCTAAATTACCTGATCAAAATGTCTTGAAGTTCTTCAGAGGCCTGGTAATGAACTAATCATTTGATTTAGGTGTGTTGACCCAGGGTGATATCTAAAACCTGCAGGACACTGGCTCTCGAGGCCTGGAGTTCCCTACCACTGTTCGAAGATATAGTGTTTTGTTAGCCTCTAATTGTATGGAAGCACAAAAAGAGTACAAGCTAAAGGACCTAAAGTACACACAGTCATAGCCCAGTGTATACTGTTCAGTGTAATTAATTTATAACATAGCTTTTCCAAACATCCTTGTTTTTATTTGGCATGCTTACAATATTTTACTTTGCACACTGATCAATCCCAGCCCATTCTTCTTTGGCAAATCTGTCAGGCTCTCCAGATTTGTTTGTTGGCATGGTCTTTGGTCTTCAGGTCACCCCACTGATTTTTCAATGGGATTGGACTGAACAGGTGGACTGATTCATGTATAGTGCTTTTCTATTCTCCCAGAGCACTCGGTGCTTTACACAACATGCCTTATTCACCCATTCACACCTATCAGTAGATGACCCACTCTACCTCCTGAGCTACAGCCACTCTGATTTACCACTGAGGGCTTGAATTCCTGAGTCAGTGTTCATTTTGGTCTTCTGGAGATTGTTCTTCACCAAGAGTGATGCATGTTTGGGGTTGTTGTCATGCTGGAAGATAAAACAATGACCCAGAACCAATTTTGCTGCTGAATACTTCTTTCAAAATCTTCAAATATCCTTCTTTCTTCATGATTCTGCCTTCGTAACATTCCCAGGTCCAGACGAACTGATGCATCCCCAAAGAATGATACTTCCACCACTGCGTGTTCTTTGGGTTGTACACCTCACCCTTATTTCTCCAAACATAAGCAGCATCTTTATGGCCAAAGAGCTCTACTTTAGTCTCATCTGACCAAAAGGCACACCTTCAGATGCATAATCTTTCTCCAGGTTGTCCTTAGCATACATCAGTCTGCCTTGAAGTTGACACTTCTGCAGAAGTGGAGTTTTTCTTAGTTTGCAGTCTCACAGTTCGTTCCTGTGATGGTCTTCTTTGATACTACAATTCATGGTTTTGGTCAATCACTCACCAGTGCTTTGAAAGTTGTTCTGTGGTTTTTAAAAAACATCTCTCACTAGTTTTGTTTCCAGAGTCTTTGAAATCTTTTTCTTCCTACCTCTGCAAAACTTGCTCTGTACTGTGCAGCTCTCTTTACATTTCTTTATGATACTTGTCAGTCCAGTTCTTTATCCTTGGAAATACTATAATAACTTTGTATATCTATCTCCTGCTGTTTGAGTGTCAACAAGTATACACTAATTTCTTTTGTTTTTGGCACAATGGTTGCAAACGTTCAAACCCTAGCTGAAGTTTTTAGATAATCCTCAGTTTTAACTTGATTTTATTAATTTTGAGCATTACAAAGTCAAAGCACATCATGTATATATATGTGTGTGTGTATATATATGTATATATATATACACACATATTTATATATATACTCATATATATGCAGACTACAGTGGCTTCCAGCTTGATCTCAGCTCTCCTGAGCCAGCTGAAGCTAACCACACTGTCACAAACACAAGAGTATCAGTGTTACCATGTAACTGAGCTTGGTGTCTATCCAGGTCAGTTAATGTTAGAAATGATAGTTGAAACTACATGTTATATGTATATGAAGTCACATGAGTTTTGTTACATTCTGCAAACCCCAGGTGCACCATGCTTCATGGCTTCCTCAGCACGGAGACTGTGTAGGAGTTAATCTCAAAGGCAATAGGATTAGATTTTCTTATACACAAATAGAGTTAGCGACAGGCCAGTTAAATCCTACTTCACCAAAGAGCTCGTACAGATCAGAAGCTTAGTGGTTGTTACAGGACACTGCCATATTCTGAGTTGTAGACTTGAGTTAGTCTGCTCTAGTTTATCCAGCCTTCTGGGAGTTGTGGGAATTTGCATTACCATAAATATTAGTAGGGACATTAATGAAATAATGGGTATAACTTATGTTTATTTTCCTTAATTCAGAACTCGGTATTTGAATTAAGTGAATGATGTGGATTAATTTTTAGTAAATGGTCAGACTACTTCAGCATGTGTGATGGACATGTTTCTTTTGATGTCAGCATCAAAAGACAGCTACAGTGAGACTCAGCTTATCTGGTACTGAGGCTATTTGTATATAAACTAACAACATCTGAAAGGAAGTTGCTCACATTCTCATTTGTAATCTGTGATAATTGTGTAAATCCAGACAACAAATCAATAGAAAGGACCTTTGTAACTTTGTAACTGAAGACACGTCTTTGATGAGAGGTGTCTTTACAAACTGAAGTCGATCTGCCTATTTTTTTCAAGCATTTAAGACTACCGTGACCTGCATGACTGAAGAGCTACACAGAGATATGACACACTGGAGAGATGTCTTTTGGAAGGCTTATGCATGCGTTAATGTTCTGCATGCATTGATGGATGGATGATAGCATGCTGTTTTTGTCATTTGAAGCCTATCTTCAATTAAAATATCTAAGACAAAATATGATTACTAACGTTAGAAAGCTCTCATACAGAAAACGGTGTTCATTAAGATTCAGATAATGAAACGACCCAGAGGTTCAGTCAGAGTTCCTTTATAATACACCGGGGACTGGATTTCTCAGGTGTGCTGAAATTGGGTCAGCTCCACCTACTAGATACCTGAAAGAAACAAGCAACAAGAAAACAAGGCAAGCACACTGGCTGTCACATTTCAAATGATGCGATGTGGATAATTTTGTTTTTTCACTCTATTTTGTATTATGATTATTCAGTTCATTTCTGTTGATATATTGCCAGTTCAAAACAAAAGTTAACTCAAGTCACTTTACATTGCAAGATCAAGATTAAACAATATTAGAAGACCCTAAGACATATCTTCTTACTTGTAGCTGAGAGATGTACATAGGAGAATGGATGGCTCAATTACTGCAAACACAACTACTTATTGGTACAAATAACGTAAACCTGTCTGCTTTTTCTATCCACTGACTCCTTTTTTTGTGCTTTGTATTTCTCTTTTCTTCAGATGAACCAGTGCTTTACATTCAACAGGGATGAGCAGAAGGACAGAGAGGTATTTATAACATTTCCTATTTATACACATAGGGCAAATAATTAATTGATCCCCTGCTGAACTGATCAGTTCAGCAGGGGATCATCTGGATCGAAATACTTCAGCTTGTCCTTTTCAGTCTGTTTACATTTTTTTTTTTATGTTCTGAGCTTTGCTCTTCTGTGTAATTCAGTTTCATCTGGAAAAAAAAAATGGCTAAGGATATAAAATAACACTGTGCTGTTTTTGGTTAATATTTCTCCCTTTCCATTAAAATTAAACGACCATAAAAATTAGAGACTAATCATTTCTTTGGCTGTACCAACATGCTTTATGCTTTCCTTTGTATACTCGCCTGTTTTAGGAAGGAAAGTTACAAAAGGTATGAATAACCAATGAACACCATGTTGTGCTTTTCCATTAGAAACCTTGAACCCACAGTTTATCTTCAACTTGTGACTCTTTCTGGATGGGGTCCTGTTAAGAATTCATTATAGGATATAAATAATTCATGAGATGAAAAGGACAGTGGGAGTGATTTACTTCTCAGGGATTGTCAAATGCTTGTAAGGATCTGTGTGTTTAACCAGAGGAAAAGTAATGATCTGCTCTTAAATTGCAGTGATTGGCCAGCTGTGAATAGATTACATCCCAGAATTGTGAAGTTGATAGGGTTGCTCTTGTTACGTCAGTTGAAGGTTCATAAACACTGGCCTAACAAAATGCTGTCAGATTTGGACAGTATTCACTGCTCTTTGATTTCTCAAGGTAACTGTGACTGAAGTCATTGTGTTTCATCTATGATCTGTACACACTGTTTGCTGGTGTCGGGGAGGCTGAGGGAGTTGGAGCTTGTTTCAGTGTTCAAAAGACAGGGAGAGCTGGAGATTCAGTCAAAGTGGCTTTATAATGCAAGGGGACTGGCCTTCTCAGGTGTGCTGCATCTATAATTGGGTCAGCTCCACCTACCTGATACCGGAAAGAGACAGGCAACAAGAAACCAAAAAACCAAGGCAAGCTCACTGGCTGTCACAGGTACATTACTGAAGGGGCATACACTTTGTGTCCAAACCAGTATGTACGATGTAATAAATATTTCCAGAATTATTTGCCAGACAAGATATGCTAAAATGCTAAATGTGATTTTCTATATATTGTTTGCCAAAGTTACAAAGAAACATATTCTTGTTTGTTTGCTGCTGTTCACAGGAAGAATACATCAGTGCTTCCACCATACTGTTTCAGGAGAGCCAGGCCTCATAATATGTACATGTATATACACAGGTCTATACACAACAGTTTTACTTGTTGTAAAACACTTAAAAATGAGTAACATGTCAAAAAAAAAAAAAAAAAACCCAACAAAACCCCCAAACCCTGGTATTACTCCATCATTTAAGCCAGTTTACCTTCCTGTCAAATGAGAGCTGCAGACTAGTCACAGACTGTTAGTGTTTTTTTCCATCTCTGACTCGACTACTTAGCACAATAACACCTACAGCACATACAGAAATAAATACAAACAGAATCCAAGTGGAAGGCTTACAGTCTGTTGTTTTAGCATAGCAGTCATTTTTAATTTAAGGTACAAACATGCCGGATTCATTTTTCAACCCCGAAGGCTGCTGTTTCCTCAGCTCACACACGTCTGGTGAAAATTTGTTGGAAATTTCTTACACGTACTGAACTATTTATAACAGAATTCTTGGGAATGGGGATTTTTGTCTGTCTGTCAAATAAATCTGTCTGGCAATTAATATTAAGATTATTGCCACTAGTGCTCAACAGGGGATGAATCACATGGCCTTTTCCCTGCAGTAAGCTCAGGATAAACAGAATAGGAAATGGAAAACCAGCTCTTATAGGTTGATTCTGTTGTAAAATGAATAGTTAAATGTTTACCTGTTCTAACATTTTCTTAATGTTATATTAGAATACTCGAGTAAGTGATGTATTATATAATGTTGGAGTAAATCCAGGATAACTTAATCAGTTCAAAGGTTTAAAGAAAACTATAAAGAGGTGTGAGATCACAATGGCAATAGTTTAATGGAATCCAATGGGAATTATGAAATGAAGACATTTGATTTATTCATTTGCTTGAACACTAATCATGCTGGCATATTAGTTTTGATTCTAAGAAGATATTCTGATGATACATAACACAAGAACAAAAACTACTGAGAAAGAAGCAGTTCTGAAGATTAGAAAAAAGAAATCTGGTTTATCATTAAATATATTGCTGCAAATTCATTCATGGCCTAAACCTCATACAGTTTATTCAGTATTGATGAAAGTCAATCTTTGAACTGATTAAGTTAGAACATTTATTGATTAGTTTTATTGTGATTTTGTATCTAATGCACCTGCAATTCATTCAGAAAGCAGTAAATATCTAAAAATGTACTTAAACAAACCAATATTTCTGCATTTAGCAGCTTTATCCTTTAAAAAAGCATCTGAAAATGTTTTTAAACAGCATGATTTAGATTCTGTTTGAGAAAATACTTATGTGTCTGGTTTTGGAAACCACACTTTGTTTTCCAAAGTGTTTTCCTCTCTGATAAATAGAAGAACAGCTTTATTCCTATAAAAGGAAGATTTTCATCCAGTAGGAAACAGACCCAAACAGGAACTGTAGTTGATTGTTAAGGTGGAAAAGAAAGGTGAGTTTGTTCAGTGCTAAAGGTTTAGGTTTATTTAAGGTGAAGCTAAAGTTCTGTTGCATGGCTTTTCTGTTCTGTTCTGTTTTTACTGTTCCTCCATGAATATATATATATGTATATGTGCAACGCAGCATCTGGGGGAGTTAGTGCTCGGTTTCCTGGACCGGGAGTTGCAGCCTTCCTGTCTGCTGGCCTGTCTGGAAACGGTTCGAATCCTGTCCAGAGATAAAAATTGCCTGGACCCATTCACCAACCAATTCGCCATGTCCACTCTTGCCCGCTATGCTAGCATTGCTGTGGACAGTGCTACCACACCTGCCCACAGCCAGTCAGTGGATGGCCAAGGTAATTAATATTGCTAGGTATCAATCCTTTTTTTTGCATCATCTTTCCAGAGCAAGAAAGGATTATATTTTAGGTTTTGAGAATTCAAAGATGTAATTCCAAATATATTGTTATGAAGACTTGTTTTGATTTTGAAGATCTAACAGTTAAATTCCATTTTCACTCTCAGTTTCATCAATTCAGAAACATAGACTTTACTTAGGAAACCTACGTAGGTATAATAACTACTGTTCCTGAAGTAGCTTTTTGTGACAGTTCTGTCAAGGCTCTCATCCTTGTTGCTTGCATATTCTACCACCCTTTTTTGCCATCAACTTTCCATGAATATGCTTCAATACATACAGTATATGAACAGACAGACCCTCTGTAGCTTAGGGGCCTCAGTCACACAAGAGGACAAATAGATTGGCACCTCTGTGCAACCACGAAAAACTGATGGTTAGAGAGTGAATTTTTTAATTAAAGTAAGAAGAACACAGAATGACGGATGGAGATTACGCAGATGAACCAGCAATGCACATGAGAAACAGGAGGGAGACACGGCTGGGAGTAATTGGACATAACAAGACAAGAGGAAGCGAAACTAGAAACACTGACGAGAGACACAGACCTACAAAATAAAAAAAGAACTCACACTTGCAAAGACACAGAGTAAGAAACACGGACTTGACACAGAGGAATACGCAGGCAGAAATGACTAAACACTAAACTGAGGAAGAACAGAACCAAAAACCAAAGAGCAAGAAAACCAGAACCAAAATACATCACAATAATAGAAAACACAAAACGCTGGGTCAAAAGACCCAGGATCATGACATATACTTTATAATCTTTCTCCTCCGTCAATAAACATCATGGATTAGCTAAAGGGAGTTTATGTTGTTGGCAGACCAAGCTAAACAAAATTGCAAATCTTTCTTTTCTTAGAAGAGGATGCGGGAGGAGACGAGGAAGAGACGGGACTATGTAGTAAAGTACTGAAGGAATCTTCCCCTCCTTCAGAAAATCCTGACCAGGAAGTGATTGTTGAGGCACTCAAGTCCATCTGCAACATCCTGCTGCACAATGAGACAGGACAGGTCAGTCTGCTGTGCATTGCATTCCTCAGATTAACACATTTTATGTGGTTGGTGATAATCTATAAAATCTGACTGATGGATTTCTGTCACTGGGTTGATGTCAGATGGTAGCAGCAGATCTGCAGCTGATTAAAGGTGTGGCAGAGAGATTGAAACAGTGTCATGATCCTACTTGGAACTATGAGGTATGACCATTACTCAGACAGATAGCTGTTTAATGTGAGATTTTCCAAATGTAGAATTATTTGTTGTGTTCACTGTAGAGTCAAACAAAAATGGCAGCACTGGGAATCAAAGAAAAAACACAGCACCATGAAGACACTATCAGAATAAACAGGAAGTAGCTAACAAGGGCCATGTTACACCAACACAGACTTAATGGGAAATACAGGGAAAGCAGAGGTAGCCAGAAGCTCCAGGAATCAAAACAAACAATCACTACAAAACCTGGAATACAAAAGCACAATAAGTAAAATGAAGCTTGAAGGCAAACTGAGGAAAGACACAGAGAAGCTCTAAAGCAGAGACTAAGAACATCAAGACCAAACCAGAGTAATCATGATAAGTCAAAATTTAGTCTCTGGGTCAGAGACCAAGCACTATGACAACTGTAATGTAAATGTTTCTTTATTGTGTTTTTAAAGGAGTACTATAGCTGGCAGATGTAGTTTTTGAAGCGTATTTGTTACTGAATATTTGCTAGAATGCAACATATGCATTCTAGCTGATTTCAAAATAAGGTTTCTCTTCCCAGGTACGTTTCTTTGACTTGCGCCTAACCTTCCTGCTGACTGCCCTAAGAGTGGATGTCAGGGCACAGCTGGCTCAGGAGCTTCATGGTGTCAGCCTTCTAGGTGATTTGTTACCTTTTCCAAGGATGTTGTGTGATTGGTTTAGCTTTGGTTGTTTCTTTGTTGGATGAATATGGAAAAAAAATATATGAGAGGTGGACCTTAGCTCAAAAGATGGAGTCAGATCTGAAGCTGACTAAAGTTCAAAAGCCCATTCATTTTATTTTCATTTCATTTAAAAAAAAAAAAAGGTAAAACAAAACAAAACAAACAAACATTATCAGAAAAGCATCCAGATGAAGTAAATTTTGTAAAGACATGGTACAATTAAGCAAACCTAAAGAACCTGTTGATAACTTGTGTCTTGTCTGTAATTCAAGGAAACCACTTGGAAGCCACACTGGGTCTATGCTGCTCAGGGACCCTGGAGACAGCAAGAGCAGGATTTGAAGGCATCCCGACCGAAGAGCTGCCCCCACTGAGCCGGCAGCAGACAGAACTAGCTATGGAGATACTGAAAATACTATTCAACATCACGTTTGACATAAACAGACGCAAAGTTGATGAGGTAACGAAGCAAATTAGATTAATTAGGAGCGATTCACAAGATTTAAACATTTTGTTGTAAATTCAAACAAAGATGAGAGTTCTCTTCATGACTGGTGAACAACTTGTGTCTGATGTATATGTGAAGGAAGAGGCAGCTGTGTACAGACATTTGGGAGCCATACTGAGGCACTGTCTAATGAGCCATGCTGATGGAGAGGAGCGGACTGAAGAGTTTCACAGGTAACACAACAGTCTGATTCTCTGTTCTCTGGTAACTTGATTTATATAGTCATTGATCCCCTGTGACGCCACGCCCTTCATTCCTTTGTGCTTTCTTTTTTCAGCCATATTGTGAATTTACTAGGTAACCTCCCTCTGCCTTGTTTGGATGTATTATTGATGCCCAAGGTGCAGCAAGGTTCCATTGAATATATGGGTGTCAACATGGATGCTGTGAACATGCTGCTAAAATTCATGGAGAAAAGACTTGACCGGGTAAGACGAGCCACAAGTACATGCTGTTGGTGGTTCATTACCTCTAAACAGGTAATATGAAATAAAAGGTGAGGTGCACTAAAGTATATCTGACATAAATTCATAACAAACCAGGCTGAGCGTGTCTCATTTGCTGTCCTCAGATCCACATTGTAGATCATTACATTTGAAAAGTCTCAAACCGGTTGTTTAAAATGTGCTCTAATAATCCACATTTTAGCTGCTTTCCTACAACTGACAAGTTTGCTTGTCTGTCTGTCTCAAAGGGTCATAAGCTGAAGGAGACCCTTCTTCCATCACTGAACTTGTTGACCGAGAGTGCCCGTATCCACAGAGAGACCAGGAAGTTCCTCAGGTCAAAAGTCAGTTATTCATCTTACAGAGATTATCTCTGAACATTTTAGCTATAGCGATTGCTCTTATATGTTTATATGTTTATGTGTGGGTTGTGTTTTAGGTGCTGCCACCACTACGTGATGTGAAAAACAGGCCAGAGGTGGGCAACACGCTGAGGAATAAAATAGTCCGCCTTATGACCCACATTGACACTGACGTCAAGGACTGTGCGGCTGAATTCCTCTTTGTTCTCTGCAAAGAAAGTGGTGAGAGAGAGTGATGCAAACTCACTTTTTTGATGAGAGGGAAGCAATCACTAAGGTACACAGGTGATGTTAAAGTCACTCCACCTTCTCTCCAGAAAAAAACAAGTTCACATTGAACCTTTAAAACCACAAATTCCTGAGTAGCTCCTCCTGAATCCTGGAGTGAGTGTACTGGGTCATTTCATCTAAAATTAGTCAAATATGAGAAAAAAAAAATTCAGTTAACTTTTTGTTGTGCACTAACTTTAGCAAATCTTTGATGATCAACATGTTCTGTCATGATAACCAAGAATGCATCAAAGCAAGTTTGTTAAGCTTGTATATTTAATATAAATTAATATAATTGGAAGAGTCATAGCCTGTCTGTGAGGATATGTGCAACAAGACAACTTTTTGCAGAGATCTGCCATGGCAAAAGTATATACATGTAACTGTAATAATTAAACACCTTGCAGCAAGAACTAGCTTGCAACAAACATAATGTGATCATATCCTGACTACACAGAAACTCTTTGAAAGGTCCAGCTGAGCCGGCAACATTACTGACAACAGAGAAGGTTTATGGAACTTTTTAAACTAGCAAGACCGTCCCTGGAAACAGCTGTTTCAAATTAAGCTGAAACCCACCAGGTTGTCTGCAAAGAAAATAAAACTACCTTCAAGATCGTGAATACGTTAACAACTACGAACAGTGTTGGCATCTTATAATATTTCTAGATGTTAAGAACAAAGTCTTTGTTAAACAGTATTTTTTTTGCTAAATTTTCAACAATAGAAAGGACAGTTGCATGCCATCTGATGGAAACAGTGGAAACAGACAGAACGAGTAACTGACACTAACTAAATTTAAGAGATTCTCAAACAAAGGACTGAACGCTCAAAATAGCTGTACATAAAAATGTTATTTTGGAAGATTCTTTTAATACAGAGTAATCACAAATCAAGGATTCAAGGAGCTTTATTGTCATTTGCATCACATGTTTACATGAGGTGGAACGAAATGATGTACACACGGTCCTAGAGCGAAAAGAAACAGAATAACGAAGAAATAGAATTTTTAAAAAAGTAATAAATAAATAGTTGTTTTTTTAGAATAATAGAATAACACGATAAATAATTTGATAAATAGAGTGCAACAACCTGAGTACCAGTATGGAGTATGGATATAGAATGTAGGTATAAATACTTTAGCAGCAAAAGGGCATGATGACCAGCATTGATAAAATGACAGTGTCAGTAAGTGTCAGTAGTGATTAAGGTGCTACAATATTCAGTTCTTGTCCATTTATGCATTGAGAAGTCTCACAGCATCTGGAATGAAGCTGTTTCTCAGTCTGGTGGTTTCGCATTTAATGCTCCTCAGCCTCCTGCCTGAGGGGAGCGGGACAAAGAGTGTGTGTGCTGGGTGAGTGGGGTCCTTCATGATACAGGTGGCCCTCTTCCTGCATCTTGAGGTGTATATGTCTGTGATGGTTGGGAGGCTGCCTCCGACAACTCTCTGTGCAGCCTTCACCACCCTCTGTAGCACCCTACGTTTCTCAATTAAAAGGAATGTAGGTAAAGGGAGACCTTCCATATTGCATGGTGTGTTTCACCCAATAAGATTATAAATCGTCTGAGGTATGAGACTGAGGCTGAGGCAGAACCCAAGTGCACTTCAGCTTGAGGTGGTGAACAGATAGCCAGACATCCTCTTTCAGGATTCACTTTTTCACTCAGGGCCAAGTGGGTCTGGATTTTTTTTAACCCTTAATTATAAACACCTTCATTTAGAAACTGCATTTTGTGTTTCCTTGTCTTGTCTTTGTCTGCTATTTAAATTTGTTTGATGATCTGAAACATTTCAATGTAACAAACATACGGGAAAACAGGAAGGGGGCAAACATTTTTCGCACTGTTGTAAATATATAAAAAGTTTTGTTTCTAAAGACTTGGACATTTTTAGATGTAAAATTGATTTGGTTGAATTTTTTAGTAGAAACTAAAGTTCATCCATAAAAATGTCACGTAGCTATTTGCTGTACTTATGAAGTTATGAGAATTCATAAATGCTGGAAAAATTAAGGTGACTTAAAAAGAGCCAACTTTGAACCTGCTCCGATAGACTTTGGAGGCCAGTTTTTATAGTATGAAGCATCTCTTAGACAAAAAATATCAGCTTATTTTGAGGTCGTTAGGTGCATAAATGATCCTAATTTCATTGCTCTTTTTATTGTGTTAGAATGCTGCCATTTTAACAGTAATATGCTCTCTTTCAAGTTTCAAGGTTCATTAAGTATACTGGATATGGTAATGCTGCAGGCCTGCTGGCTGCCAGAGGACTGCTTAGAGGAGGTAAAGACCCTGGAATCTACTCCGAGGATGAGGACTCTGAGACAGAAGAGTACAGAGAGGCCAAAGCCCAGTCAGTACCAACAGAACACTATGTCAACTCCTTATCAAAATTTCTACTTTGCATTTTTAACAACTTAAGGAGGATCATAAGTTGTAGCTGGAAATCGAAGGGGGGGGGGGGTGTAGGGAATGTTGTCAGCGTGTGTGCATCACGGGGAATTC